GGGGCGGGGGTCACGCCCGCACCCGCAAGACCCATCAAACACAAAAAAAGACGTAAAAGATACCCCCCTGATCCATTTATCACAATTTCAAAATTATATTATATTTACAATATATAAATATCTTCTGTTTTTGTCTACTACCAAGAACACCAACATTAGGAGGACAAGGCCACAAACGGGGCATCATTGTCTGTCGCGAATCGCTCCGATATGATGAAGGAGGCGCAACCAGTGTCCAGCAAGGCCGTCGTTTTGACTCCTTCGACCGTGCATTCAACTACTGGTGTGCCGGCGATCTTCGGCGGCGGCGATCTCAGCGACATGGCGATCAGCGGCTCGGGGTCCTGCTGATCGCTCACTGGAGCGGGGGCTTGCTGTGGGGGCGAGACCACCACTTCTTCCCCACTGGATACGGTGGTAGAGTGAGGAACGACTGTTTCCATGGCAACAACTCCACCATGAAAATTTTCATTCCCACCACGGCGCACCATAAATTGCCCGACTGTTGTTGTTTTTGACGCAACAACAGTTTTGTTTTTGACCTTGACCGAGGTCTTTCTCTCATAGTAATTAAATTTCCCTTGTTTACTTTATTTCCCTTCGCGTAATTTTTAATAAAATTATATTCACTATCTACTTCCTGTTGCTGCTCTGCAACTTCTTCGTCTGAATCCGTGTTTTGTTCGACGTTTCTTGTGGTGACGTAATATTCGTTACCATATTCGTCGAATAAAATTTGGTTGGCACGGAGACGAGGACGGACCCCACGTTGACGAGGACGTCTGCGGGGGTAGTTGCATTGCGACGCCAGATGACCCAGGCGTTGGCAACGGAAGCAGCGCACCTCATTGGACGGAGGTGCCGCTGAGCGAATGCGCGAAGCATCCACGTGCATGGGATCGTCGATCTCAGGCGCACGTGGTGCGGGGAATAAGCCGAGGCCCTGGGTACCGGTAGTACGGGTCCATCGGGACGACCGAGGGGTCGCCGAGGGAAAGGGCAGCGCGGGCCGCGGCCTCGAACGTTTCAAAGCTCGTGGCCATAAGCCGGCGCCCCACGAGAGGGTCCGATCGGGCGATCAACTTGTTGATCAGCTGCCGATCAGTCAGGTTGAGCTGGTTCTGGAACGACCGGAGTCGCTCCACAAACTCCTGTACGGAACCTGATTGGTGCAGGTTCTCGTACTCCAGCTCTCTGCGGTGCGTCGCGTTAAACGGTGCAAACGCATTTCGCAGAGCTTCGCTAAAATCCTTCCAGGTGAAGGAAGCGAAAGACGACTCAGGGAAGCGAACGCAGAACCAATCCTGTGCTTCCCCGATAAGACGCATCCCCACAATTTCAGGGAGGAACTCGTCGCTCACCCGTAAGAACCGAATGCATCTTGTCATCTGGCTGATCCAAGACTCTAGGATCGCCAGATCGCGATCGCCCTTGTAGGTCGGCAGGCGATCTATGTCCGCAAGGGAGGGCCGCGGAGGTTCCGAGGGAACCTTATTGTGGCTTGGCACAGAAAAATTTGCCATCACCACCACCACAAAAGAAATTTAAAAAGAATAAAAATATAAAAAATAAAATAGAAACAAAATTTCTCTAGAGTAGTCCGACTCTAAGATCCGCGAGAAATTTTGAAAATTCAAAGTATCCGAGATAGCCCACGTAGAAAAATAAATTAGAAAATAAAATAAAATAAAATAGATTTTTTTTTTTTTTTTTTTTTTTGCAAAAATTAAAAATCCGAAAAAATAAAGATAACGAAGAACAACGGTTCTTCAAGTAGTCCAAAGAATTTACGCTCGTCTTCCCGACGGCACGCACGCTTTCCAGCGGTCAAAAAGGTAGAAACTTATTTAAGAAGCAAAACTGAAGTTTTGCCTCGCAACCAAATGTAAGGAACTCCTAATTTTGTATTTAAGAAAAGCTTGTTTTATTAGTAATAATTATAGAACTATTTATACCTTGTAGAATAAGGTATTCTAGAAGGTGTTGGAAAGTTTCAGCTTACGTAAGCAAAGCGTTATTGCAGGAAAAATAGTTTTTCCTGTTTTGCTTCGTAAGCCTGACCCCGAACATGGCGATTTACCTAGACAGTTCCATGTCCTAGGAATAAGCAAATCGCTGTGTCCTAGTGGTTTCATCGGGGATGTGTTTCCTCTGTGTTCGTTGCATGCCTGTTTTGAAATGAAACCAGGATAGCACATCGTAACGTGGCACGTTACACCCTCGCTGAAGATATGTAGAATAACTTCAATAATTATTACTAATTATTTGATGAGAAAGAGAAGAGAAGTGTTGCCGGCATCGCAATAGTACAAAAGACCCGACGTAACATTTAGATAGCTGTCGAAGAATAAACTGAACCGATCAATATACATTCAAGAAAGTATAACGTTCGCTAAGTCAAAGCTTCTTCAAGCTATAGCTGTAGCTATAGCAAGGTTTCGACACCAAGTGAAATGGGGTGGGGCGCGTTGACCGGGCGAAGAGGGTTGTATGGTGTAACGGGGCGAAGAGGGTTGTATGGTGTAACGGTTAGCACGCGAGATTCTGATTCTCGAGACCTGCGGAGCGCGCGTTTCTGTTTTGTGTGTGCGGAGCGCGCGTTTCTGTTTTTACTGTGCATCGCTGTACCTGTACCGTGTTTTGCTTTACTCCTTTCCGCTTACTTTTGCTTTTGCCGCGCCTCCTACCTTGCCTTGCACCGGCTGCATCTGCCCCGAGATGTGCGGCCGCTGCTTCAGACGAAGCAAAAAGTTGCGAGGCCAGGTTTCGATCCTGGGACCTACGGGTTGCGACGCTTCTCTGTTCGTATGAGCCCGTCGGAGTTCCACTCTCCTACCTCGCACACCCCGTCACCAGCAGGATTTGAACCTGCGCGGGCAGAGCCCATTAGATGCCACGAATACTTGCCTATTCGAGTCTAACTCCTTAACCACTCGGACATAGTGACTGTGCCGTGCTCTCTCTCTCCCCTATCCTTACATCCCCTTATACTCCTCAATCCATCATCGCCCTTCGCCTTTTTCCCTTGTCACGGAAGATTTAGTTTTAGAAAGTTATAGGTGAATGTGTATTGATCAGTTTATTGTTCGACAGCTATCTTAGTCCCACTTGTGGATTTGCGTTGCCTTACTTGGTTTCTTTTTTCGTCGGCTCCGCTGGTGCCGTTGATCTGTATACTATGGACAGCGCTGTCTGGAGCATAAAAAAAAGGGAAAAAGGAAAAAGGAAAAAGGAAAAAGGAAAAGCAGAATCAAGATAGAAATAAAGATAAAAAATAAAACAATAAAACATAACATAAAACATAAAACATAAAACATAAATAAACATAAACATAAGCATAAAGCATAAGCATTGATAAATAAATAAAATAAATAATAAAAATAAAGTAAGTAAGTAAGTAAGTAAATAAATAAATAAAA